CAACTGTCCCTTTTAAAATAAATGAGGTTCGTTTTCTTGGACCGACGACAATTCTTCGCCCACGCTCTACACGGCTAGTCATAGAGTGTAATTAGTGCCACCCTTATTTCCCGGTTTTCTAATTTCCCGTGCGTTTTCGCAAAGCCCGCATTTATACAATTTATTTCGGTAGGTAGGTACACAATAGTGTGTTCACGCTTACAAGAGACGGACTTGATTTTAAATTCAAAACATTTCCACCGTATAATGATATTGTTTTAATTTTTTTTTAACGACACGTCATGTAGATAAATAGTACCTACTAATATATTGAGACTTCAATATATCGAGCGACAACAGTATACATTGTCGTAGTCACGATTTTGTTGTAAGATTACATTGCTGAGAATATTGTAATACGATATTATGAAACAACGAGCAATTGAAAAACGTATATTTAAAAAATGCTCGGGATATGGTTTGATTGAAAATCGTAATTTTTGCAACGATCTAGTCACTGTTTTGTGCGGGCATGTCAAACTCAAATAAGTATCAACTGGGCCAAATATATTGAACAGTATTTATTATGCGGGCTGCACATAAGAATGTATAAAATGTATTTATTATAATAATAATATAAGACAGAGAAGCGACGTAATAATGCGTATATCTCTGAAATTATCTAAAAACCATCTTACATTTATATATATATTTTTTATTAATTCAATTTTAGATTCTGAGCGAAAGAATGTATTGGTTTTACTATGATGTGTGTTTTTTTCTCTCTGTCTGTCAGCAAAATTTTGAATAGTAAGCATGCTTTGATTTTTGAGATCAGCATTTTTCTGATAGAAAACTGGACATAGTTGGTACTTTTGGGAGGTCAAAATTGAAAATTCCAAGTAGTTTTAGAAAGCGTCGAGAAAAACAGAATAAAACTGAAAGAAAAGTGATAATTTTTAAGCAAAACCAATTTTTGAGGAAATCGATTTTATTGTTTTGGTGCAACTCAAAAATTAATAACCGTAGACTATTGAAATTTTCACCAAATATTTATTTAGCATTTCACATAAATGGTACCATTTTCATAATATTTTGACTCTTTTTTTGCTAATATTATAGCCTTGAGAAATTTTTAGAAATTCCGTAGTTCAGCAGTTGTATTTTAAAATGTTTCCTAAATATGATATTATAATATATTATTTTATGAGTATTAGTTATATGGTAGGTAGGTACCTGGTATGTGGTGTATCGGTAGGTAACCTACTAAATCCTCACGATTCATAAAACCAAAGTAAACGCAACTTTTATCATTAAAACATTACTAAAAATATTTTCCATTTTTATTCCTGTTTCTAACCGCATTGTTATACGTACATACTATAATATATTGTGTAAAGTGTATCTATACGAGTAATTTTAATTTTGAAATTCCCAAGTTCTCAATCTGCTTCAGTAATTCAGTTGTATAATATGTGTAGTGTGTAATACACTTGTACAGTTGTATATATATATATATTACATATACATAATATATAAGTATATACTATATGGGTAATATTATATATATATATCCAAGCTGTCGGTTTACCGTAGCTTAGCTAATTATAATATATTGTGTTCGTATATCTATAGAACATCGAAACAATAGTTATTCGACATTGATGTAGGTGAAGGTAAAAGCTGTTCAGTCAACTAATGAGCGGAAATGTGAAACACACATGGAAACTATTAATCAATAATTCCTAGATTATCAATACAAAGAATGGAGATATATTATGTTGTATATATAGGTACGTATATTGTACAATATAGTGTATTATAGTATTAAATAAGGGCTCGAGAAAATTACAAAATACCCTCGAAAACATGATATTTAGATATTATATTGTCGGGAACCGTAAATTAAACGGAGTATAGTTTCTTCATTATTAAAATAAAAAAAATCAATACTGATTAATGAAAATATATCAAAAATAATAATATGTACTACCGCCATAATATAGTACCTGCAGGATTATCAAACTATAATATGCAATTTAATATTATATTTATTCGAATAAAGAAATATATTATTTGTTTGTCAAGTGGACCGAGTTCATAATATATTGCACGATGGATTACAATGTAAAACTCGTACTATACAGTGGCGACCTGATATTTTATTTTCTGCTATAAAAAATCGTATTATAGTCATTATTATTATTTTAACAGTCGTTATTATCGCGTGGGTGGAAAATTATTAACAACACAAAATAAATGAGAGAAGTCGAACGATCCGCTCTCACAACTCGGGTGGACTGTGCCAGTCTTGTTCCCCCGCATCCTATATTGAAGGTCAGACAATATTATTTTGCTCTAAATCGTGTGTACCTCAGCTGCCTTTTGTGTGTAGACGTTAGGCATATTATGTTCAACCCATATCTCCCTCTAATATATAATAAATATATATATATATATATTAATGACATGATCGAAAACCAGGTTCAAATAATAATATAGTACATACTAAGAAGTATATTAGATTCCGAGCGAAGCGGTGAATGTGTATTGATTTTGTGGTGTTGTGTGTTTTTTTCCTGCTGTAGGTATTACCTGCCGAGGCCAGTGTAAATGCTTCTATTTTCTTCTTCAGTATCTTCTTATTGGTAGAAAAGTGAATCTAGTAAGCGCTGTAGGAGCTGGGTAAAAGGAAAAATTACCCAGGAATTTTCAAAAGGGACTGGAAAAACAAACAAAAAAATCCGGAAAAAGCGGGAATTTTTACGGAAGACTATTAACTATATAAAAAAATACATTAAAAATTAGGTAAGAACTACCTGTTTGAATATTTTTAGAGCAGAGATTTGATATGAGCAATACTTTTTTAAAAATAATTTTTATTTATTTTATAAATTATACTAATCATAATAATATGCCCTGAAATTTTTATCGAAATGGCGGATGTGAGTTATAAAATATATTCAAAACGTACACTTATTTTTATATATATAGATTATTATTTTATAATTATGAAAAAATATACAGTTATTTGTTTTTTTTTTTTTAAATTGTATACATAAACTAAGTTATTTTAGTGGTGAAACGAAATTCTATGTTTTTAACACTGAAACAGAAAATGTGATAAAAATCGAATCGGCTGAGACGTACATACCGGAAGTAATCGAGGCATACCTACTCGGAAAGTATGTCTCCTGAGGATAAGTTTAAAAAAACTTGTCAACGGACTTTATAAAATTGTAAATTGTATACCACTCGAAAAGTCGTTGATCGGTTTCCATTAATGTCTGATGGGAATTCGACGACTAAAACACAAAATCAGTGAAACGTATCAGATTGAACGATAAGTCGCACTCGATAACGCGATCTCATGGCTAGAAAAGTTTACTCGTGGTGAGTATAAACCACGGCATATACCTCGGCGACGAAGACGAAATCGGGAGTCACGATATTAATGATGTAATAAGGAATGTATAAAATACGATTAATTACAAAATATCGAGCGTCCGACAATCTATATCGAGAGGCACTGTGGGAAATTTGGCGGACACGTCGTATAACATTGCAGAAATTCACAATGAAACTGAGGTGCGAGCTATAAACAGGTAGGTTAGGGTCAAATCCCGATAAAATCAATAGGAAATAATCAAATTTCCGGACGTAAATGTAGAAAATATATTAGGGATTGGGCATAGGTTTAATCGGTTTTTGCCTGTTTTGAAAATGTGGTTCCTAAAACTGTTTGATGATATATATATATGATATTATTTTTTTAATGCGGTGTTGGAGACGATTGTTAAAATGGTGTAAGTGTAGGGTTATTCGTTGTTAGATATATTCATCCAGGGCAATAAATCGGAAAAATACAACAATAACGACCCTTCAGCGTTATTCTGCAGACAGTCGAAAAATTGATTTTCGTCTAAAGATTAAAAAGTTAACAACAAATAACTGCGTCTATAGATTAATTATTATTTCCGGTTTTTCCGAGTTTGTTCGGAGTGTGAGGCTGTATGGTGTGGCTGTATAGAAAAGATCGCCGTGCTGGACTGGTCATATCACCGACCTTTGTTCACTGCAATATTACTCAAACAATATTGTTTGAACCAGAGTTCGGTGATTTTTTTTTTTATCATTTACCGACCAGTTTTGTCACAAAAAAGTAAATGACTTAAAAATCATAATAGAAATTTAATACACATAATATCCAAAAACAATTTTGTATTATTATTATAAAAATAAAAATATAAAAGCAAATCATACATATATAGTTACGTCTCCGAACCCTTCTTCGGAAGCGATCGAAAGGGAAACGATCGAAATTCCGGAAGTAAATTTAGAGAAAATATTAGAGGTTAGGCATATGTCCGATCGGTTATTGCCTCTGGCCAAAACGTGGTCGCTAACACTGTTGGACGACATGTTGGCCACGATCAAAATGGTGTACGTGACGTTGATGTTCATCCGTCGTTCGATATTCAACCAGGACAGTTGGACGAACAGGATAAACCCAGCGGCGTCCAAACTGATGAAGAAATTGATTTCCATCCAGACCAGTGTCAACGACGACGACGGTCCATAGATTTATCGTTACTTCCGACTCTCCTGGGTTCGTCCACGGCCGCAAGTGCAGCCACCGACGGGATATTTTGCCATTTTACTGCAATATTACTCAAACGATATTGTTCTCTAGAATTAAAAAATAAAATTACATATTACACAATATAACAATGATGAAATCATAATATTATGTTTCATATTACATCATTATTTCAGTAGGTACTACCAGAGTTAGGTGATTTTCTTTTTTTTTATCAATTACCGACCAGTTTTGTAACAAAAAAATAAATGAATTAAAAATCATAATAGAAATTCAATATACATAATATGCAAAAACAATTTCGTATTATTCTTACAAAAATAAAAATACAAAAACAAATCATACATTTTTTCATTATTTATATTTTAAATATTTTAAATTTATATTTGTAGTCAATTCAAATAAAGTACATCACTTACTATCAGGATCGAATGCCAAACAGTCGTCCTGCCATCCGTTTGGCAGCCGCAGTGAACCTGGCAAAATATCCCGTCGGTGGCTGCACTTGCGACGTGGACGAACCCAGGAGAGTCGGAAGTAACGATAAATCTATGGACGTCACGCCGTCGTCGTCGTTGACACTGGTCTGGATGGAAATCAACGTCTTCGTCAGTTTGGACGCCGCTGGGTTTATCGTGTTCGTCCAACTGTCCTGGTTGAATACCGACCGACGGATGAGCATCGACGTCACGTACACCATTTTGATCGTGGCCAACATGTCGTCCAACAGTTTTAGCGACCACGTTTTGGCCAGGGGCAATAACCGATCGAACATGTGCCTAACCTCTAATATTTTCTCTAAATTTACTTCCGGAATTTTGATCGTTTCCCCTTCGATCGCTTCCGAAGAAGGGTTCTGAGACGTATCGCCGTCGGTTTCGTGTATCTTATTCTCGACTTCTGCCACGTCATCGATGTCCTCCGAAATTTCGTCTATCACCGATACACCGTCGGAAGCTTTCTTCGCGATCAATCGTATAATAACTCTCTTCAAGTCATCGATTTCGGTGCCATCGATTTTGTCTTCCTCGCGAGCTACCGGTCTATATTTACCACGAGTTTTCGTAGGTTTTTCTACCCATGCGATCGCGTTACCGAGTTCGACCTGTTCGAACTGATACGCTTTACAGATTTTGCGTTCCAGCAGTTGAATTCCCGTCAGACATTTACTTGAAACGTTTAACGTTTTTTCAGGTGTTAAACACTTTTCAATTTTACGAAGTTCGCTGTCGAGTTTTCTTAACTTATCCTCGGTGGACATACTCTCAAAGTACTTTACTTCCGGTATGCAGGTCTCCTCCGGTTCGGTACTCATCACATTTTGTGATGCAATCTTTATGTTTCGTTTCACCACTATGAAAATAATAAAAGAGAGTGGAATCAGTACTACGGCATTTTGAAGAAACTCTATTGTAAATAAAAACATTATTAAAATATATTGCAGGTTGACAGCACTCGGTCAAAATATTATGTATGAATTTCCTAATTTTATTTATACAATATTATATAATAAATAATAATTATACACTATAACATAGATTAAATAACTTTGAATTGTTTACTCGCATATTACTATGGCGATAAATAATTTTTGACATCAATTATTATTTTGGATTGTAAGTTTCCATCTTCCGGTTGGAAATTTGGCTGTCTACGAGTTGATTCCCGGGTACCTGTTTACCTGCATTGATACAGTTGAGTTGATTCCCTGGTCGTTATATATTATTTTCAATATTTAGTCAAATATTCAGCCTATTAGCTCAACCTAAGGAACATCACGAGGAGGTTGGCTGACAAGTTTCTAAAAAATGTTGTTCTTTTTAGTTTTTTCATATTTTGAAAATCATTACATTTTTTATTAAAAAATATAGTAGGTAAAAAATTATTATTAAAAAAATTAGTAATTAGGTAAAAATGATTATTAAAAAAAATGTAGTCATTTGGTAAAAATGTATAACACATTGTTTTTAAAAATTGGTATCTGGTGATGAAGTTAAAAGTATACCATGACATGTAATGACCAGGGAATCAACTCGAGTTACATACCTAATAACAGTGTATTATCATGGTTTCACATTATCATTCATCACAGAATAGCTCAGCTGGATATTGTTATCATTTTAATAACCAGTTTGTTATACTCGGTATACTCGAACACCGCCAACGATAATCGTTTACTTAATACGGGTATTCTCTAACATCATGCTGCGAAACGTTTCTAAAATATACAATTTCTGAATTTCTAATTTGATATTTTTGGGGGGCTTTAGCCCGAAAGCCCCCCCCCCTAGCTACGACACTGCCTAATAATGACCCGGGAATCAACTTAAATACATAAAGTAGGTAACGGGAATCAATTCACCTACTGCGAGAAATTTAGAAATATATCTGACTGGAGAACATATTATGCGGAGCTGCATCTCAATAGATACAATAATTGTTTTAACGACGATAAATGTTTACAAAAGCGCATATGCATGTGAAGAGGTATAATTTATGTTGAATAATATTTAGGTGCCCACTACACATCGCAACGACGTCGCCGTCGTCGTAATAATGTGTACTTACGCGACGGCGTCAACAACCGATCATTTAACATTTACAATAATATTATAATACAGAACACCGACGATGATGAATAGGTACCATCGACGTATATATACACAAACGTATTATTATTATTATTATTTAATACTACGCTCGAGACGTAATTAAATGAAGAGAAATGCGCCCACACATATAGGTAATACACGAAATACGTTTCGTATAAGAATGAGGAAACGACATATCTCTTCGCACGATAAGTGGATGAAAAGGTCGTGTGTGCGTTCAAAGGCGAGCAAGAAGGCGGAAGTAATAATATTGGATAGCGGAGACCGGGAACTGCAGCAGTACGACGGAAAAGTACTATAGTCTGAGGAAATTGATTATAAAATACATACAATATATATATTATGGTATACCTACCCACATAATATAATTTCGAGAACAACACAATTATATATAATTTGGCAGTCGCTGACGAGTACTCGTTTCTCATATTATATGACTATATACGTAAACAGAGACATAATGACATATAATAATAATAATTGAGTTATATGTAAATTATAGATAAATAGCGGGTCGCAGTGCACTGCCAATCACCGCGCTTGTTTTGAAGAATTTTACCAGTCAAATTTTAGTATAATATAATGATGCTCAAGTATATGACGACGAGTAAAAGGTATACATTCGTCACGAAATCAATTTTTACTTCACTCGACGTGATATTATAATATTAATACGGTGAGATAACTAATCGTGTTCATGCTATTATTTATGTATTACCTATATTCTAATGCGATGCGAAATATGGTCCGAAGTGTCCGGAGTATGGTCATCGAGCACTCCCACTACTTTTCATCAGAATTCTGATAATTTGTTGGTATACTTAAGGACCGCATTTCAAAATAATTTGATATCTTATACTCGGTAGGAGTATCCCGTGGCGATACAGACTTGTTTTATTCAGACGAGAACCACTGTTTTTTTTTACTGTGAGTTGTTCACAACATTTTTATGAACATTTTAATGCATGCAAATTAAAATATTAAATAGCAGTTTTTGAGTTATTCAAATTTATTGTTCACTAAGGATAATAGGCCACCACATATAATAATAATAATAATAATAATAATATAATAGGTACATTGATTTATATATGTATTATAGATTAATAGCTGGTTGCAGTGCACTGTCAATCACGCCGCTTGTTTTGAAGAACTGTTCGAGTATATAATATAATGCATTAATGCGTAAGTATAATAATGAGTAAAAAAATATAAATTAGTCACGAAATCAATTTTTACTTCACTCAACATAATATTATATTAATACGGTGAGATAACTAATCGTGCCATTATGTACTACCTATATTGTAATGCTATGCGAAATATCGTCTAAAGTGTTGGATTTTGTCCACAAAAAATGTAAAACAGAAGCAATTTAAGCAATTCATACGCCGAATGGTTCATAAAGCACGCCCGCTACTTTTCATCAGAATTCTGAAATGTTTGAAATTTGTTGGCATACTTATAAGGACCACATTTTCAAATAATTTGATATTTTATACTCGAGGAGTATCCCGTGGCGATACAGACTTATTTTATTCAAACAAAAACCACTGGTTTTTTTTACTTTGAATTGGTAACAACGTTCTTATGAACATATTATTATTTATTAAATAGTAGTTTTTGAGTTATTCAAATTTATTGTGTACTAAGGATAATAGGTCGATAGTAATATGTTTGGACTTGGAAGATAAGGAGTCTATGACTATTTGAAAACTTTATAGTAGGTAATTAATCTAATCTGATTTTGTTATAATATGTAAAAATTGTCTCAGTACCTATAATACATCTATTTTATAATTTGTGTAAAACCGTTATTAATTCCTATTATATATTGTAGATAAAGTTTAATAACTCCAGTATAGCTACTCGTTTAATTTACATAGGTACATCAACGTTTTCCAAAAAAAAAACATAATATTCTATAAACAATTTACAGTGAAAAAGTCTGGTTTTCATTTGAATAAAAATAAGTCTGTAGAGCATATATGGGATACCCCACAAATGCTATATAAAATCCAAGTGTTTGAAAATATGGTCCTTAAGTATACATGAAAAATCCAATAGTCAAATTTAAATAAATGTGCATTAAAGAGGATAAAATAAGGTTGGGATGCTTGCAGGTAGGTATAAGAGGAGTATATAAGGGGTAGTTTCAATATTTATCATATAATCACCCTAAGATTGGTTATACTTAATAAAGTTGTCTCATTGGTTAACAATTTAAAAAAATATAATCTTATTATAACTATAATAGACCAGTGAAGCGTAGGTGTTCTTCAAAATTAACGGATGGGCTGTAAATTTCAAAAAATATTAAGAAAAATGGAAATTTAATCTAAAAAGTATTGTGTTAACACTTAACGTATTGAGTTATTTGAGTTGTTTAATACCTTCCTTACAGGGGTGGTTTTATTACTGAAATTTCGTATAAGGACATAATTGTATATTTCATGACTAATAGACACAACCTAAAACCCCCAACCTTACATTTGTTTTGCCTTACAATTAAAATATGAATACTAAAAAAATATAGAGTTTCTTTATTCTTATAAACAAAATGCTAAATGGAATGTGCTTTATTTTGAATGTAATTATATAATTTTACAATATCTTATAATATATTATTATACTATTCTTTTATAATTTAAATATTATAAAAAAAAATTAGGTAGGCACTTATGTTATTAGTGACAACGTATCTCGACAACTAACTTACAATTAAAAAAATTACTAAATTATTTTAACAATGTGTAAAATAAATTATATAAAATGTATGAAATATTTTCATTCTTTTGACTAATAATTCTTTGTTTTAGTTATCCAGAACGACAAGATATTGAAATTTTCAACAGGTGAACGTAAAATAATTTGGTACGAGCTGCCCACCTGTCAGTACCGTAGAATGGGGTGTAGTGGACCTGGTCGTGTGAAGTGGACCATTCTCATTTTTTTGAATGTTCATCAGTATAACTTTAACACGGTTGGATCAAAATTAATTTACTAAATTTTACCTCCATAGCAGTATGACAATGAACATGTTTTGATACTAGTGATAACAATTGTATATGACGATCCTGTTTGTACTCAAAATATTGTCTAATTATTTTTTAAAAATGTAATTTAGTGGTCCACTTCAAAACTAGAATAGATTGAAGTGGTTTTTAATAAAAAACAAATGACTGGTCCACTTCACCCCACATATAAAGGTAAAGTGGACCACTTTTGGTACAAAAAAAAGATTAAAAAAAGTTTAAAAAAATAAAAAAATGCCATTAACTGTAGCATACATCCGTATAGATTATATATTCCAAGTTTCAATCGTTTTGATCTAATAGATTCTTCAGAATCTTAAGAAATATACCAAAAACTGGTCCACTTCACCCCATTCTACGTACGCTAGAACTGCTACTGTTTATACTTACCTATTATGCTTTGGATATTTTGTCATTTTGAATATTACTTTTACATACTTTTACAATTTTACTTTTATATTCTAGTGTATCTCGACATCTCATAATAATTAATAATTATTTAACAAGAATATGTTGTGATCTTATAAATCAGCTGTTTCTATAATATATAAGTACCTAGGCATTTTATGATTAAAATTGTTGTTGACGTGCTTGAAAAATATTTGCGTACCTATATATTACGTCCTTTCGTCATTATAATATGAGTACAAACATACGCAATAAGCGCCCTTATTTAATTTGAATTAGAGGGCCCGTTTAGAATATGTGATGGATCTGATAACCTATAAATTATATAATATATGACGTCATGTTTGCGCTTCAACAGATCCGATTGAAAA